ACCGTTCAAGATTAGTAGTTAAAAGACTACCTATTAGAGAGTAGTGAGAATACTCTTTGAACTACTAGGACTTTAACATTTATATCGAAAAATAAGAGCTGACACTTAATTTTAAAGCTTTTTCAATTCTGCTCACGACAACATACGACTTTTTAAATTTTGGTTTGGATATGACAATAAAATCATCACTTAAATAATAAGATAAAATATCAATGAATGAAAGAATGTTATTGATTAAAGTTTAAATTGGTTTCCCTCCGCCTCTATACGAAAAATAAAATATTTGCTCCACTTCCGAATAAGCATTTCGGGCATTATCTGACGACATTCTTCATCAGGATCACATTATGCCGTAGCTGTGCGTGATTTTCTTAATCAGAACTTTCCAAATCACTGGATATAATGGAACGCACATTTTCAATTGAGTGGCCTCCCAGATCAGCAGATCTGACGTCCTTAGACTTTTTTCTATGGGGACACTTTATGCAAAACGACCGAACTCACTTGAGGAGCTTCGTCGGCGAATTGTTGAAGAATGTCGTCAGATAACGCCCGAAATGCTGCGAAATGTTCGTTCGGAAGTGGAGCAAAGACTTTATTATTGTATCGACGTGTCTCAGGTTTTTTGTTTTTTATTTTTTTATTCCGATATTTTCCAGGTGGGAAGTTTTAATTGGAACACCCTGTATAAAAAAAAGATTTAATATTTATTTACCTTCTTCCTGTCTGCTAATGCGACTGACTACAAACACATCACCAAAGATCTAACCAGGTCAAGGGTACGCGTAAAATAATAATTTAAAAGTAATCAGTCATCTCTACAGTATAACTGTTCCATTACGTATACAATTTTATCTTAGGTGCGTTTATTTTAATCTTTTCTCTTGTAGCTTTCGCGAGTCAATATTATTTTTATAAGAAAACGCATAAATATCAACGTACTGATAGTGTTAATTCGAAAAGTAAAAAATAACTTTTGTTGATACTCTCATCATCAAATAGTATCTTCAAATATTAAAATATACAGGTATAGGAAAAAGTGAGGGAATTTTGATTAGCTGCTAGTAAGAACTACGAGAAAGTGTAATATTTATTTACCACTGTAAATCTTTGAGAATCTTAAACTGTGCTAAAAAATTGTACTATAATTAATTCGATAATTAATTATTCATTTTAAACTTTCTATAGCTTAAAGAAATTGGGGTAAAATCGATCGGATAGGTAAAATCGATCAGTGAGCCGAATTATATTAATGAAATTATTACAATTAGCATTTTTATTTTATGTTATAATTATCTCAAACAAAAATTTCGGTAATAGTACCGAGACCGAGAATAGTACAATCGGAATGAGTCTTTCTTAATTTTTGAATATAATATTTTTATTGTTTTATTGTAGATATATTGATATCTAAATTAATGTTCCTTCTTGGTTCATTTTGACACTCATTGCTTTCTTTTTCTAAACTGTTACAAAATAATATCTTGTAACCAAAAATTAACTATAGATATAAAATAAAATACACACATGTTGCGGAAAGAATAAATAAAAAACCTCTACAACAAATAAACATTAAATCAGCATTATTCGTAACCAATACAATTCCTTACCGTATCAAAAACAATTGATTTCTGAGAAGAAATCTAACAATATAGAGGAATCAGAAATACAATTAAACTTATGTAACGCTTCGTATCATTCCACTAAATACGGTTGTGACTCGGGTTGTGATACTCAAATAAAGGAGGTTGAAGTAACATAATATGGCATCTACTTTACTTTACAATTAGTTTTGAATTATGTCGACACGATAGAACTGCTTTCCAAAATTTGCCCACTAAAATATTATTTTTCGTAGTTATTAACTAATCAAATCACGTATTTCTTAAATAATAGAGAGACCAGGGTGAAAGAGAACATGATGCATGCGCTCATCATACATGTGACGTAAATAATTATCTCAATATCCAAATCGAGAATATTACTAAGTATTACTCAAATATTATTATTACTTAAAAGTTCATACATAAGTTTCAAGTTTCGCAAAAATGGAAACCGCAGAAGTAATTTAATGTGCAAACTTGAGTATAGTACTGCGTAATATTTGAGTAATACTTTAGTAATATTTCGGCATTAAAACAATTATTTATGTCGAATATACATACGATACGCGCATTGCGAATTGCACCTCTCTTCCAGGTCTCTTATTATTTGAGTAAGTAACTAATTAAATGACATAGGAAACTTTCTGGCGACAATCAAATATGTAAATAAACAGTAGTAGGTAATCCATATTACGCTACTAAGCGGCCGCTCCATGCTCACTATACACAATTCTACTGACTGCCATAAAAACACGTGCCATACACTCAACCAAGCAAAGCGTCAAACTCACTCACACAACGACAATGAAAACAGCAATACACCTGGATTGTTCAACAGTACGCCAGGCCGACAGGACAGGCATAAGGGTGCTGCTACATACATATCGAATAAATTGATACGCGAAGCTTTAGATCAGAGGTAGACATGTAGGTACATATTATTTATTATACAATGACGCGGATAGTGGAATTACTAAAAAAATAGCATCTATTAAAAACTTCGACTAATTTAGAAAATGCCTATTGAAGATCATTCTCGTTGTTGAAATGGGTATTTACCTACCCATCGCCAAAGTCGATTAACGCAGAACACTTAGAACAACTGTTAATTATTTTCTACAGTTGCTTTCTTATAAACCAGAAATTATTATTTTGTTAACTTTTGCTGGTATTATTACGTACTATACGAGAAAGCACAAGAGGATTTGCAATATTTTTCCTGTAAAAAAAAGGCAAAATGTATATAGTTTAATTCAGGTAATTACGTTATCAATCAATGAATAAAAAAATATTTAGATGTATGGTCAAGTGTCTTCTGCAACTTAAAATAAATAGGTACGTTTTTATTAACTTTGAACACATCGTATCTCAAAGAGCATTATCAGAAACATATTTATAGGAACTTTTGACATCATCCGCCATTAAAGTTTTGCTAAGAATTTTCGTTACACCCTGTATAATGTATTGAACCGAGTAATCAACAGTTACAGTTTAACCTTTCAGTGCCATAATTACATACGAACAGGTAAGTATACTGAAATTATTTCCATGTTTCGCACACTTTTACGGAATACCTAATGGATCAATGCAACGCATACATTGTTAGTCACCCCTTCACGTCATTTCGCAAATTACTTTTAGTAACGTAACGACAGCTCGATAGGAACTTTGTGGTGTAACGTTAGTCCCAACGTGACTTATGAAATTACATTACCTTAAAATGTTTGGAGTTTAAATATGGAGGTAACACCAATTTTATAAATGAACCAAGTTTTTAACAACAGTTAGTGCTAAAAATAGTTTGTTTAACTGGCTCTCATATGTTTAATTTATTAAATCAGCGTCAGTCAAACTTTATTCCTATCACAGATGTCGATTAAAATTCGTCTTTGTCTCCCCTAGCACTATTAAATTCAAATAGTTGATAATAATTTTCAAAGAAATGTAAACGTTATTTTTTTAGGATTTGAATGATGTGTTTCACATATTTCATGTGGAATTCAAGGATTTCACACTTCATCACGATAAAAAGTTTGAGAACCACAGCTAGGTACTATAATATTAATAGCGGTCGTAAAAAATATTTAATATGGCAATGACTTTATACCTCCCACCTATGTAAATTTTCCTATTTATATTTGAATAAATTAACTATATGCCTATATTTACTATTATATAAACATTGTATTCAATCTTATTTTCAATTCAGTTCCACCTTGTTTGCAGATTCTCACAAAATTATTTAAAATAGATTGGTTTATATTTTGAGATTATTACCGTGGCAAAAACTGTACCTTTTGCTGCCACAGTTTAGTGATGTTTTTTATCAATCATATGTTCGGTCGTCGTGAGAGACAGTTAACATTTTGCTAAGGCCTCTTACTCTTCTAATCAGCTGTATCTATTTGATGCACTAATCTTACGTAAAAATAACCACTTCAATGTTTTAGTTTTGATTCAATAAAAGCCAGCCTGCAAGTTACAAATTTTAAAATATGTAGATGTCACTGCAGTGGCAAGTTTACTAATTTTTAAATATATTCGTACTTATACATTATTTTTAATGATATTAGAAGCAATTACATAATTGAAATGGTTAAGTACTTATAGTCTGAATTATTAACATTAATACTTGACCTTATTTTAAAAAGTTAATCTAAAAAATTTTGTGAACCCTGTCTTTTTCCAGAAATATCTGGTTATTGCAAAATATCTTTATAACGAGGGAATTACAATATTGCAATCATGTGATTATTTATACGACACTGTTTTGCCACTATCTAAATCAGATTTAAATTTATTCTTCCGAAACAAAAAGTTGTACGTAACTTTCAGACAGTCTACTAATGTTTATTTAGTAGTATTTATGCATAGAAGTAATTTTTTTAAAATACAGATGTGTCATACCTACATAAAATTTTGAAAAATCGTGTATTTAAGAGATAGAAATTCGAAATTTTCCTAATATAGAATTAAAAAAACGAATAGTTTAATTTTATACAAGAATAGGCCAATTAAAAAAATAAATAAAAAAATAATAATGATAACCCCAGACGCAGCAGCGCTTACAATATTTTAGAAACCACCTGCAGTTGTCGATGCGTTTCGTTCCCAACTACTGATCTTACACAATCCGATTTAGAATTGTTTGTTGCAAATGGAGGCCTTAACAACAAATTAGCTGAACCTACACGTCATAAAAAGTTAAAATGTAATAGAATGATTGCTGTAACTGTTGCCAAGCAAAACTACGGCCTTGTTTTAATGCACTAGCTGCAGCATCACCTTGATTCGAACTTTACACAAATCGCACATGATTTCCACTTCCTATATCAAAGCACTTTTTACACTTCACATTTTCACAGATACACTGATAATCCAAAAACCAGGGAAGACTCACCTATTTTTTTCCAGTTCGTTATGTGACGTCCTGCAATAAAATTAAAAACGTTGAGATATCAAGTATACGTAAACAGCCTGACATAATATGTGTGTGTGTGTGTGTGTGTGTGTGTAATAATAATAACTCGCTAAAATGCGGTGTGCTCGACTACATGGCAAACGCTGTTAAGGCTTAAACAAGAACAAAGCGGCCCTTCGAATTGTTTAAAAGCGTAGGGGCGAGTTTATTTGCATAATTTTTGTCATGTAGGTATATAAAAAGGCATTAACCTGGTGTGGTAGAATAGAACAATGAATGCGATGGAAAGTGGTCACTCACCTGTTTCCCTGAGATTTTTTCGTCTTTGGCCTTTTTGAAACAGTTCTGAGATCATCGGGGAATCGTAAAGTAGAGGCATAACCATGTTCAGCCTCTGCCTCTGTAACGATAACAAAAACAAGTGATCAGTCAAAAACAGCTGATTTATCCAAATAGTCCAACACCGTGGGCTGAGCTCTATCCGAGAAAAATACTAACCTCTCTCACGCCTTGCAATATATTCCGCAGCTTCTAGTAAAGTTTCAATGGAGTTCATATTAATAATAAATTTTGTAGTTGCTAAGACAAAGCCGCAAACTCGCAACAAAGAACCGCCACGCACTCACCCGAAACACACTGAATACAGACTGCCAGCCGCGATGTGCCGTGCGGATTTATCGATGTATCGTGCTGGCTGTACCGCGTTAGTTACTTGTTATTCACATGCGCCAGAGAACAGTTGCGCTGCCGACAGCGATCCCTTAATTTTTGCTGTTGTAAATCCTTGGTTCATTCTTTTATTTTCGCATTTCCATTTTGGTGGATGAAGTTATGAAAAATATCCACTCTACCAGAGGAATTTTCAACCGTTTTTCTAACATTATTTTTGGGTTTATTGTAATTAAAATTGTTGTTAACTGGTTTAAAAAAGGGATATTCGAAACTTTAGACTAATAGTCTTGATTCATTGCTTCCCTAATATTTTTTTTTTATATAGGTAATTGTTTGTACACGACAAAACGATTTTTCCAAGTGGTTAATGTATTTATTACATACGCAATTTGTTTTCTATCTTTTTAGTAAAATCAAAAGCCCTTTGAATTGAAACTTTATTTTAGGAAAGAAGTCGCAGCAGCCAAAACTACTAGCTACTGTTATACAATTTTTACTTGGCTATAGGTAAATAATCTTTAACCGATAATAGATAGGCCTCAACCAAAGTCAATTAACTAGTGTAATAAGTTACCTTTAGTGGACAGAATGCTAAAAAATATTTATCTATCACCATAAGAAGGTTCTTGTTCTAGTAAAGCATCGACTTAAGGTAGTAAAATGGTGATGGCAAAACAATTTTATTAGCTATAGGCTTTAACCTTATAAGAAAAATTGCTGTTATAATACAAATTATCTTAGCAAATCTTTTTAAATGGTCGATTTCCGTCAGAGAGGATGAGGAAACGTGTTATTTTTTGTCAAAAAAAAAAAAATAACCAAAGTTCACAATAACATCAGAAAAAAGAATTTGTGTGATGTTTTAAAACTACTTACAACTAGGGAAAATGTAAGGCTCATGCTCAAGTAACCTGAAATATGGGTGACGAATGACAAGTGACGAATGACCAAGAACCAAGACAATGCACAACCAAGAGGTTGGCAGTATGTATCAGATTCGGTCGCTGACGCAGCAACTCATTGAAATATTTGAAAAACGTGTTCCCATATTTATTTAGCCATACCCATATACAGGTCTGGTCGCCGAGTTGAAGAACGAGCGCGCGGGCAAAGGCAGCACAAACACAGCCTCACTGGGCGACCTGGACATAAATTCAGTTGTCAACAAATGGCTAAGCAGTGCAGTGCAGCAATGCGGGATTTGGTGTGATTCAGGTAATTTTAATTTATTATAGGCACCTTCTATTAGTCATTCATATTGCAATTGCGGAAGAGAGAAATAAGAGAGATATTTTGTTTACTAATATTATTGCAATGTGGCATTTTGGAGACCTTTTGAAATGGAACAAAACGAAATTTACCATCAATATAATAAAATTGTTTGAGCATATAAATAATTAAAATATGTTGTTGGTCAAACGAACATATAATAGAAATTTTCTACACATTATATACAAATTATTATAATTTTTTACCTTTAGCAGAAAACTTTTTTAGGGACGCCTATGAAAATTTTATTGCTAGGCGTTTTTATAGACGTTCAACTGACTTCGGAAAGACTTATACATGTTAAATGTTCAGGAGAAAACTCTTTGCCGACTGACATTTTTTTAGACAAAATGCAAAAATTTCTGTACTACTGTTCTCATTCATTAGAATGCACCTTACTTATACTTCTTTACTGTGATTAAGTCCCGATAAAAATTACGTTAACATTGCAGGAAAACAAATAAATATAAAACATATTTTAAATATTTCAGTAATATTAAACATCGCTAATATTAGATCTTTTAATTTTTAGTATCATAGAATATTTTTTTTAGCAAAATTACTTTATTGAGAAGACGTTCTGGAGTTTTCATAACTCTACGACCATATTGCGCGTAAAAAACTTTGAAGTAGCCAATACCAATAGCCCATAGCCCTTCATTCGTCACAGCAATCACCTGTTGCATATCGTTCTGTGCTGTGATGTTGTCACATACCGAGAACTTTTGGGGATGTGTAGGTTTTAATTGTTTAACCAGAATTTTGTTATAGGTAATGGTATAATACCTACACAGATCATGTACAGGGTGCAACTTTGAGTGGGGGTCATATTTATACAGAGGCTTCCTTTGACCTTTAGAAACAAGTACCAATAGTTTATTTTTTCAAATTCCGTCGTGAAAACTGGGCTGTGCACTGTTGTCAAATCTTATTTCTGAAGGAAAAGTTAGGTATTAAAAAGTAATTTTCCACACCACTCGCCGTGAGGTTTGGCACGTTACTTTTGTTGAATGAGTGTTCACCACGAGCTCTACCTTCCACAAAGACTAAAGTTTAATTCTTTTAAATAAGACAAACTATGAAACAGTATTTAACAAGTAACCTAGCAGCAAACTCAGGCAATAATGATAAATGAAATACACAAAATAAATAATATGTATGATAAACTAACTTTTCTAACATAACACTTACGATTTTGTGGTATATCTTCGAGTATTGGTACTAGTTTCTTAAATGTTGAACCAACCTGACAAACATTTTCTTATTCGGTACTTATAAGTCGGCGTTATCTATTTGATATCGTTTTCTTTGCTCCTGACGAAAAGTAGGCCCTAACCATATCAACTCTTTCTTGATTCGTACACATTGTATCGTATTGTACAAAAACTTTAAATTAAAACACAAAATTTCACTCCATCGTCGCTGAACACTAAAATACCTAAATAACTTTATAAGAATATACACTTACACCACATAAAGGCACTTTACAACCTTCCCCAAACCGATAAAGTCGAAGACTAAACAAATATGTAACCAAATGAAATAGTGAAGTTTTCGCCTTTCGGCCATTCCTGTTTTAATCAGGTGCGAGGACAGTCGACTTTTCAGCGCTTTCAAAGGCATACCGCAACAGAACAGCGGTTTTTTAGTGTTCGACGCTTCCTCAACATTAACATCCAAAAAAGTATGGCGACTTTAAAATAACAAGTTGGTGTAATATTAAATAAATTTTTTTCCACAAAATTATGTTTAATTAGTTTTGTTGTTTGTTAACAGTTGATTAAAAAATATATTTATAGTTAGTAACGTATCTCTGTATCTACCAATATTTAATAAATCATGTAAAAATTAATGTTCTTTTAGAAATTATAGATTGTTTTATTTTTAATGTTCCATCACAGTTATATTAAAAAAATATGGTGACTTTAAGGTAACACCTTGCTAAGTTATACAAATAAAATGTTTTACTAAATTATTTTTCATTGTCACAGTCCAAAATGTAGATTGACTTAAAAACAACTGGCAACGTTGATAGTGTACTAACACAATTTCACACACAAATTCCAGGTGCCCCAGTTTACGCCGTTCAGTGGCGGCGTACACAAGAATTAAAGTGCATTTTAAAAAACAAATTATAACTCGACTATTTATTTGATTTAAAAAATAATAATTTCACATTCATGTTCAGACACCCTATAACAATATTTATCTCTGAAGGCTGGTGATTAATAATCATAAAAATAGCCGTTCTTGAATAAAAAATAATGCATAATGTAATTTTGTATAATTTTTTTGGATGTTAAAAACGTGTCATTTCTAAAAACAAAATGTACCTATTGTTGTTATATAAAAAAATAATTAAAAGTTCAGTAGATAATTACTTTAAAAATTTAATACAGTCAGGTATTTGAGGTAGTTGGCAAGCAAGCTACTAACTCTGTGGATATGATAGTGTGGAAGAGTGCCTATTGTAATTGATGTACTTACTTTACTAGTTGATGTGTTGACCACTCTTCTTTTGTATTAGTTTTTTTTTCAAGTTTTCTTTAATCGTGAGCTACCAAATTATATTACGCCGCTGCCCTCCTCTCCTATTCTGCGTAACAATTGGGATGAGAGGATTTTATTGTATAGAGTGGTCAAGTTCTGTGGCAGCTATTGACTCTCATACCAGAGAGGGCGAAAAAATTTAGGTACAAAGTACTGAAAAAAATGTGCTCAACATTGTTTTTTATAGTAAGAGTCCATGCCTCAGCTTTTGTCCGAAATAAACTTTTCAATTAACTATAACTATAACGTTTAACATTTCTGCCCAATTGATGTTTCAATAGATATCATTGCAAGTATGTACTGCTAGTCTCTCTTTATAATCTAATTTAAACTTTTACAATCTTTTAAAAAACACATAAGAAACAATACGTGGGTAACAAGATTTTCCACCACACGTCAACAATTAACGTTTAATAAGAAAAAAAGCGGTGAATAGCATTATTTGGTTAGGGTCGAACTAAACAGAGCCCAAACTGCATAGTAAATATGAGCTTCTCCCACTCCGTCTTTCACCGCTGCGCGACGGTAACCATGACCACAGCTGTAAACACTTTATAGATTTAGAAGTAAATATTTTTACTATGAAAATTTCTAGGGAGGCGGCGCCCCAGAGCACTCCCGCACCAGCCGCCACTGGTTCTACCAATGCCAATTTGTTAATTTTTCAGAAAGAGTAGCGCCCGACGAAAATGCTTTTGGTGATGCTAAGTCTTATACGTATTACATACAGATGAATACATATGTGGTACATGGACACATGGAGTAAAAATAAATTACAAAAATTTCATTATTACGTTTATTATCAGTCTCTTCAGTAACTACTCTTTGTACAAAAAAAAAAACTATATCAAATTTCTGACTAAAGCATATGTTTACCATTTTATAATTCTGAACCTAAAAATTTTAGTCTGTAATGTTTCACTCCAATAAAACATTTTTTTGTAATTTATGCTATACAATAAGTAGATAGAATTTAGTATCGTTTCATCAAAGATTTTTTGAAAAATTTATGAAAAAATTAACAACGTACTCTTGGAAGCACACTGCATCTATATGCAAAAAAAATGTCTGTAAACAGGAAAGTGCAATTCTCTTCTTAAAAAAACTATTGCTGTACTAATTGAAATATCTCAATTTCTGCTGGAAATGAATGTGTTAACAACAG